GTTGGTTCCGATACCTATTTAAGCTAACCACGAAGTGGGCTTGAAATCTTTAAAAAACAACTGTCTCGACGTGAAAATTAGTCGAAAAGTTTTTAGGCTCAATCTGAATCATTCTAAGCTTTAAAATTTGTCATTCAAATCTGAAATAATAAATGAAAGTCTAAACCAGTCCCTTAAAAGTTGCCAACCCTTGGAAAAGTATATCAGTACCCTTTCGAGGCGTAAATTTTCAAGCAGCCTTTCTAGCAACCAACTTCAAAGAAGGCACTTTTGAAAGGTCTTACTTTTGAGGTTATCGACGTGTTCAACGGACAGACTGTACGACTGTTCTTCAGTGTCCTAACTCGTTCAATTAAATATCCGTATTCGATGGCAACCGCACTCTTGGTATTCTAGAGTCTACAAAAGATCAATGCAATTAGACACTTAGTTTTTATATTCCAGCTGCCACTGGTTAACGTGGGATTTCTTCGGACAGACTGTACAACTGAAGATTGTACATCTGAAGACTGTACAACTGAAGACTGTACAACCTGGAGGAAGGCAGCTGGGTTAATGACCCGAGTATACTAAGAACAACTAATTGGCCCTTCAAAGCAAACTCAGCAAAAATCGGTAAATTCCGATTAAAATGTTTTTCGTCTGATATTGACACATGTTTTGAGAGTGCATCTTGTTTTAATACCAAAGTTTTGCCGAAATTTTACTGATAATCTGCTCGACCAAAATTGAGACAAATTAATTTTGATTGTAGAATACAAACGTGTTGTGGCATTGTGTAGCGTCTGCTGCCCTTGCACGAGTCGTGCCCCACCGAAATAAGATTGCTTAATTGTGATAAAACCATAAAAAAAAATAAAAAATTTGCTGAAAATTCTTCATTCAGTGGCCCAGCTGGAATTATTCGCTTGACTGTGCGAATCAATCGTGTGGTTGATATCGAAATTGATAGTCATCCAACTATTCTAGTTGCATGTCACTCTTTGTTCGGTTGATGATGAGACACTTGCATTTTCCTCATTTCCGTGAGGGCTCACATTATACGCGTGTGGCTCTAAATTTTAAATCCATCGTTCTCAAATTTTGTTGGTTGCTCCGAAACGTTGAAAACAAATGCTTGACACACCGGAAGCAAAAAACCAGAACAGTCTGCCATATTATGCCTGCTCTGACTGATGAGAGGTTCGGTTACAAGTGAGACCATTTTTATTACGGGCGTTAGTTACTTCGGCCCGTTGTTGGTTCCGATACCTATTTAAGCTAACCACGAAGTGGGCTTGAAAGCTTTAAAAAACAACTGTCTCGACGTGAAAATTAGTCGAAAAGTTTTTAGGCTCAATCTGAATCATTCTAAGCTTTAAAATTTGTCATTCAAATCTGAAATAATAAATGAAAGTCTAAACCAGTCCCTTAAAAGTTGCCAACCCTTGGAAAAGTATATCGGTACCCTTTCGAGGCGTAAATTTTCAAGCAGTCTTTCTAGCAACCAACTTCAAAGAAGGCACTTTTGAAAGGTCTTACTTTTGAGGTTATCGACGTGTTCAACGGACAGACTGTACGACTGTTCTTCAGTGTCCTAACTCGTTCAATTAAATATCCGTATTCGATGGCAACCGCACTCTTGGTATTCTAGAGTCTACAAAAGATCAACCCGTTTTTGGTTCCGATATGCAGAAGTACTGAGAAAATAGGGGGGTTTTATTCACTTGCTCTTAGAGTGATACCATATCCCGACACAAGCTGCTGCGTTATGGACGTTGAGCAATTCATCGCAAGGCGCGACACTCACGCACCTATTCTTTCCGACAACGACACAAACTTTGTGGGTGCTTAGAAAATAATTCTGCTTGCTTCGAGAATTGGAACAAACTTGCTTCAGCGGCGGCTTTTACCCATCAAGGAATTTAGGTGAGAATCAACCCACCTAGTGCACAGAATTTTGGCGGTCAGGTAGTGGTTAGTGAGAACTGTCAAACTGGTATTATAGAGGAGAGTTACCGGGGAATTTTGAGGAAACACAAATTGCGTGGTTGAGCAGTCATTAAACGCGAGACCAATCACAGCCATTAGCACTAACCCACACATTTAAGAAGCTTTGACCCCGAACTACTTCAGATTTTGGCAACACACAGCCAATTTCCCGTTGCTGAGCTTTGAAGAAAACTTTGAGCATAAAAAGCGTTATGCTAACGCAGTGTGGTCATGCTAGTTACGGGAATACCTACCGTTGCACACTAAAACATCAAAGTAGCAGAACAATTTGCACATCACTTCCAAAACAGGGGACTTGGTTTGGGTTGTTGTGCCCGACTTTCACATGGGCACTACCCACTTGCCCATGTTATTAAATTGCGCTACAACAAGGACGTATGCGAGACGTTAAAAACGTCACGAGCGAACTGACCGACTCAACCGCGAAGCTCGGCCCAGTTCATTCGTGTCTAGGGGCGGAGGATGTTGCAGCGCAAAGGCAAGCGAGCACATAAAAAACATAAACACAAACGTGATGCTAAAGAAGATTAGTTGACCCAAACTCAGCCCTTCAAAGCAAACTCAGCAAAAATTGGTAAATTCCGATTAAAATGTCTTTCGTCTGATATTGACACATGTTTTGAGAGTGCATCTTGTTTTAAAACCAAAGTTTTGCCGAAATTTTATGATAATCTGCTCGACCAAAATTTAGACAAATTAATTTTGATTGTAGAATACAAACGTGTTGTGGCATTGTGTAGCGTCTGCTGCCCTTGCACGAGTCGTGCCCCATCGAAATAAGATTGCTTAATTGTGATAAAACCATAAAAAAAATTTAAAAATTTGCTGAAAATTCTTCATTCATTGGCTCAGCTGGAATTAATCGCTTGGCTGTGCGAATTACTCGTGTGGTTGATACCGAAATTGATAGTCATCCAATAATTCTAGTTGCATGTCACTCTTTGTTCCGTTGATGATGAGACACTTGCATTTTCCTCATTTCCATCAGGGCTCACATTATACGCATGCGGCTTTAAATTTAAAATCCACCGTTCTCAAACTTTGTTGATTGCTCCGAAACGTTGAAAACAAATGCTTGACATACCGGAAGCGAAAAACCAGAACAGTCTGCCATATTATGCCTGCTCTGACTGATGAGAGGTTCGGTTACAAGTGAGACTATTTTTATTACGGGCGTTAATTACTTCGGCCCGTTTTTGGTTCCGATATGCAGAACTACTGAGAAAATAGGGGGGTTTTATTCACTTGCCCTTAGAGTGATACCATATCCCGACACAAGCTGCTGCGTTTTGGACGTTGAGCAATTCATCGCAAGGCGCGACACTCACGCACCTATTCTTTCCGACAACGACACAAACTTTGTGGGTGCTTAGAAAAAAATTCTGCTTGCTTCGAGAATTGGAACAAACTTGCTTCAGCGGCGGTTTTTTCCCATCAAGGAATTTAGGTGAGAATCAACCCACCTAGTGCACAGTATCTCAGCGGTCAGGTAGTGGTTAGTGAGAACTGTCAAACTAGTACTCTAGAGGAGAGTTACCGAGGAATTTTTACGAACCACAAATTGCGTTGTTGAGCAGTCATTAAACACGAGACCAATCACAGCCATTAGCACTAACCCACACATTTTAGAGGCTTTGACCCCAAACTACTTCAGACTTTGGCAACACACAGCCAATTTCCGTTGCTGAGTTTTGAAGATAACTTTGAGCATAAAAAGCGTTATGCTAACGCAGTGTGGTCATGCTAGTTACGGGAATACCTACCGTTGCACATTAAAACATCAAAGTGGCAGAACAATTTGCACATCACTTCCAAAACAGGGAACTTGGTTTGGGTTGTTGTGCCCGACTTTCACATGGGCACTACCCACTTGCCCATGTTATTAAATTGCGCAACAACAAGGACGTATGCGAGACGTTAAAAACGTCACGAGCGAACTGACCGGACCAACCGCAAAGCTCGGTCCAGTTCATTCGTTTCTAGGGGCGGAGGATGTTGCAGCGCAAAGGCAAGCGAGCACATAAAAAAAATAAACACAAGCATGATGCTATAGAAGATCAGTTGACCGAGTGATCTAGACCAAAACTAATTTGTAGACCAGTCAGGCGTATGTTCGAGACCCCCACATGCCCATTTTGTAATTTGCTAAAAAAGGGGTTACATCCTTTTTTAACATTTCGATTAAAGCTGACCGTCAAAAAGAGCAGTTTGTCTCAAGGACAATCACTGGTTATTTTGGCATGCGCCAATTTATCACATAAAGATTGTACCGAAAAAACAAATGTTTTGAAAGCGATTTTATGCCAGGTTTTTCAGAATTGGTTTTTTGATTGATTTACGACAATGAGTGTTTGTCTTACCAAAAAAAGCTGTTTTAAGTTGCTTACGGAGGTTGGGCGCACAACCAAAATAGCAATACAGTTGTTATACTATTATTCGTAATTGTTAGTGGCATGAGGGTAAACAATTACTGCTATCATGTTTCTGAGGATTCATCTTGTTGATATAAGAGAGTTTGGCTTTTCTTCTCGCCAAAAGTAGGGCGTTCAAGTTTCCGAGACTACAAAGACTAATTTTTTTATACGAGACACAAGTCTCTAATATGAAGTCGCTGTGGACTATGCTGCTATAATGATGCACAATATTGCAATAATAATTCTCAGTGGATGATTTGAAAAACGGAGGTTTTTTTATTATTTGTACTTCAGTTACTATTTTAGTCTCAATTTCTGCGTTTTTCGACGTTTTTTTTTTAAATAATAACTCTTCGAAGTTTTTTGCTCTCGGATAGCTTTTTGACGTGACTTGAAACTACCTGGTCGGCTTTCTGGCGTTTCTGAATTTTCAAAATACTTTCATTTACTACAATATACTATTTTGTTTCTGAATACTGCAAAATACTACAAAAGAAGTTACTGGTCCACATTTTGGAACGTTTTTTTTTTCGAAAAAAATGCGGCCATTTCTAGGCTAGTTTACGAAGAAAAAGTTGTCAACTGTTTTTATAGGTTATGTGTACGTGTCGATTGACGACTGCTGGATGAGCAAAGAGAGAACTGCGGATGGGAAGTTGCAGCCAGACCCTATCAGATTCCCCAGTGGCATGGCCTCCCTGGCCCAATACATGCATGAGAGGGGACTCAAACTGGGTGAAAATAAGCAATAGTAGAATGGCAAAATATACTATATGACAGAAAAACAAGCAATCATTGATAGAAAATGAACAAAATAAGCAGCAGATTCTGAGGGGAGTTGTCATCCTCACGACACCCTGCGCACCCAAAAAGTCTCCCTTTGGACTTAGTTTTTCTCGTCTGTTTTGACTGACCATCCCCAAAATTTCCCTAAAAGCACTTTTGCAGCCTGTATTTTTTATTTTAAGGCTTAGCGCTTGCGAAAAACCGCAATTTTGTTCTGTTCCCATAAAGTGTCTT